TTGATTGTCGAGGACAGTTAAGCCTGATTTTTTATAGTAATGATAGTTATGCACTTAATTTTTATTTAATTAAATAGTACACCAAAGAATATAGACTAATAATATTCAAAAAGTAGACCAATCCCCCTAACTCTCAAAATTTTTCTGGCTTTCTACCTGTGCAACAAAAGCCACTACAAATTCATCCAAGTTAGTCATGACTTTCCCACTGGAACAAATCTTATACTTTGAGTGAAATTAACGATATTCTGTTCAGAACACAATGTTATACAATACCTCATTTGTTAGATGAAAATCTTGACTTTCTATTGATTATATATAATATATAATGGAACATAAGAGAGAACAAATTCTGAAACAGAAGATGTGAGAAGTGGGTGTGGCAGGAGGAGTCTGATTTTCTATTCGATAGCTCTGTAACCAAATAAAATTGAAGACTATAAAAATTATGGTTTATCTGAGCAATAATGATTTTATAGAGAGTAATTTACATTTAATTTCATACTTTTTCAAAGGGTGGTGGATAAAATAGGGATGATGACATGCTTAGACAAAATGTGTCACGTGGGTCACACTAGTGCAAATTCAGGATTTTTTTAAATATTCCCTTCTAGAATTAAGAACTTAAAAATTATATAATATAAAAATAGGGATTATTAGCTAAGATTTTATGTTACTCTAATTGGTATAACATAAATAAAAAGCACTTTAATAAAATTTTGAATTTAAGACACTAAAATCTTGTGTCATGTGCAGCAAAGGATACCCAGGGACAATAGGGTTAATCTTTTAAAGAAAATCTACGCAAGTAATCTTGTGCAATAAGATTAATAGCTCAAGACAATATGAAAAGATGGACTGATATAATGTAAATGTTGTAACATGGCATATTCTTTTGACCAAATTTAGTTGTTTTAACACATGAATTAATATAGGGTTAATCTTTTAAAGAAAATCTACACAATTAATCTTGTGCAATAAGATTAATAGCTCAAGACAATATGAAGAGATGGACTGATATAATGTAAATGTTGTAACATGGCATATTCTTTTGACCAAATTTAATTGTTTTTTAACACATGAATTAATATAACAATATATTTAGTAAAAAGGAACTGTTTGTTATACTAGAGCAACAAATTCAAATTGCTTAATCACATGAAAGTAATATGAAAATAAGGTAAGGTTATTTTTAACAAAAAACATTAAATTTGTGAGGATAAAATTCAAAGGAGTCTAGAAGACTACAAAATGTTTTTTATTCATCCTAGCCTGTGAGTAAATATTTTAGTGGTCAAAACAAAAAAAGCACTGTGGAATATAGTCTAACAGCCCAAGATGAAAATATGGAAAATGAACCATAAATAGGCATGCTTGTACCTAATACTGTTCAATAGTGGTAGAATATATTATTGAACATCTGAAGATTCTGATTTATTCTACAAGTGATGAAAGCATTGATTTCACTGTTTGAAAATTTGAAGTTTACAAACAACAGCAACATATTTTGCTTTTCAGCAACATTATGAAATAACACGAAAAATATTACGTCAGGTAGCTCAAACAAAATCATCTTCAGCTAAAATGTAATTATCTTCATTAACCAGGTTATAATTAATTCTCCCATCATTTTTTAATTGCATGCTAATTTCATTGCATTTTGGTGTTCTTAATGTTTCATTATACAATAATTCTCATTACATCAGACTTCACTGCAATAATTCAAAACAGAATTTAAATACAAATGTATATTTCAAATATTTCATTTTTTTTTTTTACTTCAATCCAATCAATTTAAGAGTAATTCATATAATGGATAAGGAAATAAAAGTAACTTCTTTCACAATTAACATTTAAACACCTGCGATTGCCAATATTATCTTCACTGAGTACTTACACTCCAACATAAATAGTTTTCAAACATATTGAATCAACGATAAAATCATTTTGGTGTTGAACTAATAATGCATGCAGGGGTGTTCATTACATCAGCAGTTTATTCAGTGACATGAGCTTATGAGTCATTCTCTTACACTTTTATCAAGTTTTAATGAATCTTACATTTTACTCTAATAACTCCTAATATAATTTACATAAATGAATCAATCTCAGATATTTTTAAAATTTTACTTCATTACAATCAATACATACTATTTAAAGTATGTACCTATGTTGTCAAAAATATTTCACAAGTGTGTGAACATTTTAAATGAAACAAAATTATGTTGTGCTTCAAAAAGGCTCAGAGTATGTAAAAAATATTATATTTTTACTCTTACAAAGTGGCTTACAGATAAGTGAAAACATATTACAGCAAACTGTATATCTTTTCAATCATTTGATTTCTTACATTTTATTGAATTGCCTTACGCTCGACTTATAGTATAGAAAATAAAATAAAATATAAAATTAAATTTCATAAGAAACTAAGCTCCACAGTAAAATCAACTTCATAGAAAATACTTTGCTCAACTAAATACATGAAAAATAAATTATAAAATACAAAAAAAGATTTTTAAAGAAACTAAATTTTATGGTAAAGTCAACTTATTGATAAAGAATTATAGTGTTAGAAAAGACCAAGTTTCTAACTTAAAAAGGCTGTTACCATTAATATAATAAGTACAAAGAATTAACTCTACTATAAAAGAAAATCTGGTCGAAGAAGTTTTACTTACAGAAACAACTTTAAATATATACATAAAACTACATTACCTGTGGATATTGTAATGTCTCTAAGGTGCTTTCATATGCTGATCTTAAGGATGCAAAGTTGATTAAGACATCTGCTTCAGGGTGTTTTTTCATGGCATCTGCCATATTTTTATACACTGAAAATGATATGGAGTTTCATAAATTATCTCGTTGTTATACGTTATTGAATTATTATTAATTTGTTTTTGAAATTCAAAACTTTTCCTGAGACACCATCTAATCATGAAAAGCTACCACTTCCGGTAAACCTTACAAAGGTACATAACAGATACACTCACCAGTTCCTGTAAACCTTACAAATGAACATAAAAGATACACTCACCAGTTCCTGTAAACCTTACAAATGAACATAAATAATACACTCACCAGTTCCTGTAAACCTTACAAATGAACATAAAAGATACACTCACCAGTTCCTGTAAACCTTACAAATGAACATAAATAATACACTCACCAGTTCCTGTAAACCTTACAAATGAACATAAAAGATACACTCACCAATTCCTGTAAACCTTACAAATGTACATAACAGATACAATCACCAGTTCCTGTAAACCTTACAAATGAACATAAAAGATACACTTACCAGTTCCTGTAAATCTTACAAATGTACTAACAGATACACTTACCAGTTCCTGTAAACCTTACAAATGTACATAACAGATACACTTACCAGTTCCTGTAAACCTTACAAATGTACATAAAAGATACACTCACCAGTTCCTGTAAACCTTACAAATGAACATAAAAGATACACTCACCAGTTCCTGTAAACCTTACAAATGAACATAAAAGATACACTCACCAGTTCCTGTAAATCTTACAAATGTACTAACAGATACACTTACCAGTTCCTGTAAACCTTACAAATGTACATAACATATACAATCACCAGTTCCTGTAAACCTTACAAATGTACATAACAGATACACTCACCACTTCCTGTAAACCTTACAAAGGTACATAACAGATACACTCACCAGTTCCTGTAAACCTTACAAATGTATATAACAGATACACTCGCCAGTTCCTGTAAATCTTACAAATGTACATAACAGATACACTTACCAGTTCCTGTAAACCTTACAACTGTACATAACAGATACACTCACCAGTTCCTGTAAACCTTACAACTGTACATAACAGATACACTCACCAGTTCCTGTAAACCTTACAAATGTACATAACAGATACACTCACCAGTTCCTGTAAACCTTACAAATGTACATAAAAGATACACTCACCAGTTCCTGTAAACCTTACAAATGTACATAACAGATACACTCACCAGTTCCTGTAAACCTTACAAATGAACATAAAAGATACACTCACCAGTTCCTGTAAACCTTACGAATGTACATAACAGATACACTCACCAGTTCCTGTAAATCTTACAAATGTACATAACAGATACACTTACCAGTTCCTGTAAATCTTACAAATGTACATAACAGATACACTTACCAGTTCCTGTAAACCTTACAAATGTACATAACAGATACACTACTTAAAAATTGTACCAAGCTAATATAGTTCATACACTACATGATTTCCGTATAAAGTTATTTTATAAACACTCTTCTAACATTTTAAAGAAACTTATCTGAAAGCAACATCTGCATGTATATAATATTATCACATAAGCCAGACCTTGTTCAAATATCTATAAACAGCAAACATAAGAGGAAAAATTAATACTTTTATAAAGTGAATCTTTTAGTTCCAAGCATTCATTTTCAAATTTCTACTATTTAATTATTTTTAAAACATAGTTGGTATACAAATAACATTTTTCATCAAAACACACTTTTTGTTATTTTTAATACTTTCCAAGCATACCTAATCATTTTCAAACACAACTTACTAGGTATCAGTATTTCTTTATGGCCCCAGTAAAATTTTTGCTTGTGATCTCCAGTAAAAGGATATACCATGGCTACCACTGACCATTCATTACGAGAACATACAAAATCAAAATCCAGCATACTCTGGACTGCCCTGACTTGCATACCCCAAATAATGGCTTTTGTGCCCTGCCAATAAAAAAAAAAAATTATGAACCTCTACAAACCATAAACCAATATTTAAAATTGTCCTTCATCCAAATTTCTGTATTTAAAATCAAGTATTTATTGAGTAAATCATAAAAAACAATCTATATGGCTACAGCTTTAAAGACTTCCAGAATAGAAAAATCTACAATTAAGTAAAGGCAAACTTACAAACAGAAGAATAATCAAGCAAGTTAACATTAAGACACATACCGTTGAAAATAAGGGTTTCACGGTGCTGCCATCAACAGAAGCATCACCTGATGGTGAAGCTGACTTCTGTTTATCGTCAGAACTGTTAAATGATGTTCGTCTTGGGGGGGTAGTTGACTGCAAAAGTTTTATAATTAATTAAAAGAAAACTAAAACCTTACAGATAAATAAATTAGGAATAAGAATTATGTTGAGAATTTGATAGTATTTGAAATACAGGCTTTTTATTTACCATATGCTTCTTAAAAACCATTAAATATTATGTGGAATTTAAATTGCTAATAACTGATTTGGATACTTTAAAAATGAATCATCATATTTCGTAAATTTTATTACTTTATGAAACATTTACTTAGGCCACTATAACTCCACAGTAATTGTTATCTGTAGTCAGTCAAAAGAACATCAGTCACATATACCATTTCAAATGTGTTTCCTGTTGGAGAGCTTCATAATGCAATAAAACATAAGAAATGGTCAAGAAAAACTGTATTCTTTGATAGATTGTTTAGGCAGAGTATTCATGATGAGTAAACTGGAATGGACGACAGCTGCCTGTTGTAAAAAACACAAGTGTAGTGGACAACATTTTGAAAGACAGAAGACTTTTGAAATGTGGTCCTCTACACTTGTGTTTTTTACAACAGGCAGTTGCTGTCCATTCCAGTTCACTCATCAAGATAAATTGCATTCACAGCTTTTCCTATGACACATATCAGAAAGAATGATCAACTCCATCATAATCACAGAAAAAGATTTTGATGCATGCTATGAGTTTGTGATTTGAGTGAACACAGTGCACGCAAGAGGAATGTATACATCGTATGAATAATGTAAGTGACTCAGCTCCAAAAAGTGAATGTAGTAAATTACAAAATTGTTCTTTTTTTGTCTTTCTGGAAGTATGTCACATTTCATTCTCACATTGATGTTACACTGCCATGTGGAAAAGGTTTTCAAGCAAACTGAAACATTATAATTAATATTGACAATGGTGAAATTTATAGTCTCAGAAACATCAGTAAGTCAAAATATTCTATGACAACACTTGGCATCATGCTTGAAAAATGCTCAAAGATCCAAGAAATTAAACATATCTTTGCTAAATCGAGCAAGCATTTGCAGTATATTTCTTTAAAGTTTGCAAAAGTAAAAATACAAAGCAAAAACTTTTAGTTTTGGTCATTTAATGTTTATTTAAAGTTTACAAAACTATAACTCCCTCTTTCTATCGTGCCAAACCAAATTCTATTTGCTTTTATAGCAAATTGTTAAACATTTTAAAATCACTTGTATTACTCAATTCCACACTTGTTTATTTGTTTCAATGTATTTTTTTCAACCATTAATTTTCAGCATTCATGCTAGCATTTAAATTTTTTTAGTCTTTTGAACCAAAGCACTTGGAAAAAGAATGGGCCTCCTTATATTAAATATCAGCACTTTTAACTTATTATTTTCTAACTATAGTAACATTTAATTCATTTGCCTTTGATATTTTCTTTGTTTTTTCCCACCTGAAAACAGAATGGATTTTGTATTGTTGAATCGAAGAAGAATGCAGACAAAATATTTCAAGTTTGTTGAAAACTATAGGATGCTGAATTGGATTAAAAGAGCGACATAAAAGTAATTTAGTTTGTGACCCCAGGACACATTATAATGCAATTTTCTCGGTCTCCAAAGTTAAAATTTGTGTGGTTACACCTACAAGTTTCTTAGTTCAACTCATTTTTAAAATTTTATGGGCAGTTAAACTTCACCAGTCTTGCATAGTGTTAATACCGCATTGGCCTGATTAAAAGGTGATATTTTTGATTAATAATTGGGCTGTAAAATTTGTAGTCGTCTTATAATCGCGGCTGACCACAGGCCCCTTGCCCCCTACTCTAGCCTGTCCCATTCCTGGATGTCCAGGTAGCATCCATCTATGCATGCATGCCAGATGTTTGCTCAAGGTCATAACTAATCCACCTGCAGGCTGTTCAGTTATAGTACTGATTTTGCAGACCTGAAAATGGACATTAAGACAATAAATTTTTTTTCTTTCCTATGGTTTCTGAAAATGGAGGGTCACCTCATATTTGAGATTGCCCTATAACTGGGCCAATACAGTAATTATGTATTTTATATGAATACTGTAAATTACTGCAGAACATGGACAAAGTAGGTTTTTAAAGTGTTAATTGTTGTGTTTTCATTATAAGATAAGTTCCTGTGCAAGAAGTTGAAACAAGTTAAACAAACAATCACAAAATTGTCACCTTTTACAACAACTGTGGTGATGTTTCTCAGTTTTAACTGATTAAAAATTAGTTTTTAGGTTCTTTCTATGGCTATTTTTAAATTTTCTTCTTTCCTTCATTTAAATTGGAAAAAAATATAAAGTTCTATTAGATCTACAGAAACTCTTAATTATCATGTCCCCCAGGACAGAGATAACCCCCACTGAACCATAAAAAAAATACACATACCTGTTGCATTCCATCAGGAAGAAGGAAATTAGCTGTCGTATGACTGGCTTCTGGAAGTTCTGGAATATCTTTTTTTTTCATTGCCATGGCAACGATGGCTGTCATGTGGGTTTCTGGGCCAAACACATGGATTGGTACTCCAAGAGTGCTGCCTACAGAAGAATAATCTTGTTGTGAAACTTTTATTTTATTTAAACTTAATGTTTCATATTATTTGCATATATATAACTTATTTTTAATAGGAGAATTAAAATGATTACTTTCTTCACTTTGGTAGTAAAAGTCTTCAACAACCAAAAACCTAGCTAGAATATGGTTATAAGTTCCAATATTAGAAACTATAGGTCACAATGAAAATTCTTCTTTGTGAATTTTAGGAAGACCAAAAAAAAATTCCTGGATGACTACTTGATGGTCTGATATTTAAATATTGTTTTTCATTTAATACATTAACTTTCTTCTGTTTTAAAAGGTATTTTTGTAACCTAGACTCTCTATAGTATCAGTAAAGTTGTGGAGCAACTTCCCAAACATAGCTCAATCATTGAAAATATGTTCAGCCTTTCTTAAACAGTCCTCTTTATCTAAAATTACAATACTATTTCCTTTGTTAGATTAGAAATACTAATATTTATCATTTTTACTTCAATTCTTCTGAGTTGAAATTTAAAAATATTTAGTAATCAAAATTATAATTTTTAAATAAAGTTAAAGCTGTACCACTAACCTGAGTTCTAATACTACTAAACAACTGACCAAAGAGGTTTATGTGACATCAATTGCAAGAACCATTCAAACTGTACAAAATTATCTTCAAATTCTAACTTATTTGGAATACTAAATTTTAAAGGGGCTAAAGTTTTTTTTATCAGTATCATTTAGAACATACACTTGATATTTTACTACCAATGAATATATTGTTACGCCTCCATTTAATTTTCCGTAAATTCGTTCCAATTAAACTTTAGCGACACAAGTCCTTACTTAATACAACTGGTTTATTCTTTCCGAATACAACTTTACGATACACTTAATTTCAACAGTCACTCTATAACAACACTATAATTCATGTCTCACGAGGCCAACAATACTTTGTCCGCATACATTCAATTACTCATTACACTGATGTCCCGTCACGTTGTGAGCATCTTATATATATACCAGACTAACATATATCTAGTAAATGCTAGGGCATTCTTGAAGGAACAGGATATTTCTAGAAATACGTGGCGTGATACTAGTCACGTGACCTCGCTGACGCAACAATATGTTGAAAGGCAGCTTTGAATTTTCTCTAGAGTTAACGGTTAGCAGATATAGCCTATATCTGTGTGAATGTAGAAGTAAAATTTAATCAAGATGCAACAGCTTGATGACATATTTTTAACATACGAAAAATTCACTTTAAAGATACTATCAACTGCTAGTGCCTTATCTTGATTACTCAGCATAATATTTAAGGCGAACTTACCCACTTCCCTCATTACTCGCAGCCCTTCCTGATAGTTGGGGCCTGCTCGTCTAACAAATATTGAAACTTTATGTTCTACAAGTCTGGGTTGAAACTCTTGTAAAGCCTTTACAATACCCTGTAATAATAACACCATCAATGATTCATATATTAAAATATGATAAATAAACTTAAAAGAAAATGATTTATATGACATGAGACAAGAATAATTTAAAAGAAATTTCCCTAACATCAGTTTCCCAAGAAACTGATGAAGATAACACCATTTAACCTTAAACAAAAATTCTGAAATAATCTAAATGTACATCTCAAATTAAGAAACTGAACTGTTTTAATATTTTCTTGTCTTAAGTTTCCTTCATTACTCAAACTGTTTCTTGTACACGCATCACGAATCGTTCCACTCCAAAAAAAAAAATTTATTATCATGCACATAATACTTCACAAGGAAGCTCATACTACAATATTTGAAAGCTGAGTAGTCTTTTCAGTTATTTCTTAAGTTCGTTATTTATGTCATCTATTTCTTTTACTTGACTCTTCGTTGTTGTTTTTTGTATATATATTTTTCTTATTTTCATCTTATTATTTTAGAAGATCATCTTACACGTATTATATAAACTTTTCTTTTGTTTCAGTAGAATGGACAAGGTAATATCTATACTGAAAGACTTAGGTTCTTTTTACATTTCAGTAGACTATTTACAATAAACTGCCCATTACAGAAATTAAGTATGTTATATTAAAACGAATTTAGAACCTCACTATATCATTATCGTCCATGTTATTCAACCATCTCTCGACATCAGGTATCTGTACAAGGAAACATGTATTCATGCCATTCCATACACAGCCATACCAGTCTACTTTATAGATACAAAACCTACAGATTTCTGTGTAATCACACCATTGAATTGGGTACTGTGATACACCCTTCTATACAAGCAGGAAGGATTGGTGTACTTTGGACATCACAGCCTCATGAAAGAGCCTTTTGCAATGTAAAGTACACTGCAGGGCTAGTATTACGGTGCACGGTTATGAGATAAAGCATGACTAGATATGGCTTGGGGAAACAGGACCATCCAGGAAGGAACCTATAACAAGTCGTATTCCAGCCCTGGTGCAAAGTGTAGTGCTTTGTAACAGTTGAAAATCATAAACAAACGTCAGTAGTACACAACCAAGAAGGATTTCCATCTGGAAAAGCTACACAAGTTGCTTCCACGACATATCTATCTGTGCATAAGGTGCGGTTTAGGTTGAAATTCTGAATTCCATGCAAGGCCCTTGTACTGTTATTTGAAAACTTCGTAATTTTGTTTTTATTAACTGAAGATTTACCAGGATACATTTGAAACTTCGAATGTAACAATAATACATCTAAATTTGCCTTTAATTGCTTTTAAGAGAAATTGTGGCAGAAATATTGAATGTTTAATTGCTGTCATTAAATTAAACACTGTAACAACAATATTAGTATATAGAGGGTTGAGAATGTTAAGATAACTTTGAATATGCAAGTCGGCAGGTTAGGTGAATATAAAGTTGCAGTGCAATAGCATGTATCATAACTACATTTTGACAACGTTTGGAATTTCAAAAATATTGTGATGTCACTGAAATTTTTTGCTTTTGGGAAGGGTTTATAATAGCCTTTTCCAATGTAAAATATTGAAATATTTATCTTTTATCTAATGCCATTACAAAATAAAGAAATATTGATCATGGGCTAAATGGCTAGGTCAAAGCCTCTATGATTCAGATACAACCTTCTCTAATTATGAACTAATGACACGAAGTAGAGCAGTCAGCCAGAAGCAATGTCACAACAAGAACTTTGTCCAGCTTCTTGTCAAGCAGTAGAATTGACTGTCACTTTTACAACACACTCAAAGTTACAGTATACAAGAAGCTCAGCAGCATCACATCTGAAACCTTGGACCCTTCAATCTACAGCCTAGCATGCTAACTACTAATCCATATCCAGTCACCTTACTAATGTGCTGAACTATTTGATCATAATATTGACTTGACTATTTATTTATTTATGGCAAAGCTACTAAGGCTATATGTTGGCATTTAAAACATTAAACTGTCAACCATAGGGAAAGCAAATGGCCAGCAGCACCGACTGCCAACTCTTGACCAGTGACTAGTTGAATTGACTGTCACATCAAAATGCCTTCAATGCTGAAAGGGTGAGCATTTTTGATGTTGGACTTTGATCCTGCAACAAACAGTTTGTGAGTCAAGCTCACTAAACACCAGGTCATATTATGACTCACCATTTTGAGTAAAACAAAATAATAACATTTGATAATAATTATAAAATAAGTAATTCTCTTAATTTTTGTACAAATTAAATTTTACACACACACATACACACATATATATATATATATGAAAAAGTCAATCTTTGGCAAATATACAAACTTCAATAAAACCAGCAGTTTTTTTGGAATGGCAACCTTTTTCTCTTGCTTGATACAAAACAGCATAAGATGGGACTACCAAAACTAAACCCAGAGATACAGATTTTTTTCAATAAAAGATCTACAGTTATTCAATAAGGATAGAAATGTTTTTCAAGGGCCTTTTAGCTGATAATTGTTGTTGCCAACCTTTGACAACTGAAAATTAAGTACATCCCTTTCACCAAAAGAATTTTTTTTATTTTTCACAGTCTTCATAACTTTCTACTAATAACTTATAATGAACATATAAAGTAGCTATATAAACTATAACTAAAAAGTACCTTTTACATTAATTAATATAATAAATCAAAACACAAAAAATCTATAGTGATAAGAATGTACTAATTCATCATTTTTGATAGCCCCACAATTATTAATATTTTTGGCTGTAATCCCAATATCTCAGTAGGCTCAGTATGACCGAAATTTAGATTATGTGGTATGCAGGCATACCATGCCTTTTATACCTTTTCACGTTAATGTAGAATTTTCATAATTTTTTGTTTATTCTGAGTCTATGCATTTTTCTCATAACATATGGTTAAGAAAATCATTAAGTTGATGTTGTTCTAGCTGTGTTTGTTCCATTTCATTCTATTGAAGTTAGAACTGTTCTGCCCGTGGGATGCATGACTGTAATGCTACATGCTGTGCATGAAGGTTGACAATGGTATCTTTCAATGGTATGCCAGGTGATAGTTCAAGGTTGTAGCCTCCCGTATGTTCAAATGTGTATGACCACTTGTGTGTCACACTAGTCACTATGGGTAAATCCAACATTTTCACGTAAGTAAGAAATGTTTATTTAAACATTCATGTACCATATCCTGAGCCAATTGGTTAGTGGGAATATATATCTCAAGGGAAGATTCCAATCTAATCAATTTATGAATCCAGTGAAAGATGACCATCCAGCATTCAGAAGGAAGAACACCCATTGGGTTTTGTCTCTGAACTAATAGTGTGTTACACACCGAGCCCAGACAGTATATTTTTTTCACTTAAATTCAATTATTTTTAGCTAAATTGAGCATAACTTCATAATATATCTTGTCAATACTCCCTTAATAAAGCAGATGAACCTAATACTCTTTGAAGAAATCAGTTTGACATGAAAATACCAAAATCAGTCCTTAAACCATACACTAAGCTAACAATAATGATCTTTGTAAATGCAAAAATTAATAAAAACATATTCAAAATTATTTCATACATCATGACAAATAATACCGATGAAAACTAACTAGAAAGAAAAATGGATTAAACCTGTACTTACAGAATATGCATGAGCACCTGTCCTTTTTATTTAATATGTATATAACTTACCATTACATAAAACATGAATGTAATAATAGGTATTTAAGTATTGAATAGTCCACATACAGTTCTGTCTGTTTATTTCTTGACTTATTACTTTTCAATAATACTATCCTTTTTATATTCTTATTTATATATCATGCTATGTGTTTTAACTGACACTTATACTGCATAAATTTGAGGCACAACAACTTTTTTCAGTAATACTGCAGTTGAAGTTTAACAGCTTCTAAGTTTAACATTTTTGAAACATTATCTTTTATTCATCAGTCAAGTCTTACCTTGAATGTGGCAGCTACATTAGTAAAGTTAGCAATGCCTCCACCAATGATCAACACTTTTCCTAAAAAAAGAAGGAAATGTTACTTATCTTTAAGTTCAACTATTCAAATAATGTAAATAACCTTGATTTCAAATCTATAAAAGTTTTTTTATATCTTCCAGTTCATGTAACCAACAAGAACAATAAAAAACAAAAAAATGTTTCTATCTCACCTTAATTTATAACCCTTTCAAATTCCGTCTAGGTTTTGACACAAACTACTATATAACTTGTTCATTATACTGCAAAGCATTAATATCATGAATTTAGAATAAACTACAAGTTTTGACTAAATTTTCTATTTAACAATAAAATCAGAAACAAAATGGGGGAAATGTCATTAAATTGGATAAAAAATTGGCTGGAGAGTAGAAAGCAGAAAGTAATAATAAATGGAGTTAGATCTGATTGGATCACAGTTACAAGCAGTGTGCTTCAGGGCTCTGTACTGGTTCTTCTGCTGTTTGTGATTTATATTAATGATATTGACTCTGGAATGACTAACAAAATTTTGAAGTTTGCAGATGACATTAAGATTTTTGTGGTGTTTAACTATATCAAAGATGCTGCAGACTTACAGGGAGATGTAGATCATTTAATGCATTAGGCTAACACGTGGCAGATGATGTTTAACTATCCAAAATGTAAGGTGATGTATGTAGGTTTTCACAATTCAAATGGGAATACATTAAATACTGTGGTTGAAGAAAAAGACTTTTGTATTGTGACCGAAAAAATCACTTAAGTCATCTAAACAGGGCTAATAGGATTTTGGATAGCATCTATAGGAATATTGAATACAAGACAAGGGATATTATTGTTTCACTGTATAGATCACTTGTAAGTAACAACAGTGGAGCCATTTTGCAATTCAAAAAACAGCTATTTCATTAATATACAATTATATCAATCAAGTAATTTATCTAATTTAAACAGTGATGTACATTTGTACTTTGGGTATAGTATAACTTGATCAATAGTGCATTCATAACTGAAGTGGTTTTACCAGCATTATTGTATATTTGTACTTTGAGTATAGTATCATTGAATAGATGGGTTGACTAACAATGATGTACATTTGTACTTTGTATATAGTATCATTGAATAGATGGGTTGACTAACAATGATGTATATTTGTACTTTGAGTATAGTATCATTGAATAGATGGGTTGACTAACAGTGATGTACATTTGTACTTTGAGTATAGTATCATTGAATAGATGGGTTGACACATCATTGTTAGTCAACCCATCTATTCAATAATACTATACCCAAAGTACAAAAAGTTCCTTTTGGAATGACTTTAACAAAAAAAGAATGTTTAGGCATCAAAAATCAATTTTTCATACCCTTTTTCTGCACAGACTTACCCTCAGGATGGGCTTTTTTTGTCATCAGGCTCAAAATGGTCTTGGCATATTCATATGTCTGCTGCTCACTTGGAGCACCAGAATATTCTCCATAGTTGGCCAGTTCTGAAGCTCCACCAAGCTCACATACAGTGTCACTAATAAAAGAAACACTGCTGGTCTAGTGACAAAGTATATGTTCAAACTAAATTCACATTACAATTTACTTTAAGATAGTATAATACATTAAATATAAAGTACTGTAATAGCACTAGCTGACTAAAACAAGCAACATTTTAATACAAATGTTACATTGTCATTTGCTTAGCAGCTTGATATGATGATAACAGTGCTACAATACATTTTTGCTAAAGATAAATGTTTAAATTAACTTAAAATGTATTTGTACCAGAAGATTTTCAGTAATAACTCTGGGCTCAAATTTCAAATTGTATGAAAAGATGTTCTATTAAAATATTCTTATAAAGTGTGCACTGGTGACAAGAGATATATATGGAAAATTGGCATTTATGGGCAGGTTCAATATTAAACCTACAAACTTTCTTCAAAATTACATGTCATGCAAATATTTTGGTTCATATTTTGACCACTCCTTTATTTAAAAAATAAAAAAAGGCTTCACCTGTATATCACTGATGCTCCTCCACCCGCAACCATAGTCCAGATGCGTCCATCTTTATTAATGATAGTAAGTTTCAGAGAAGCTCCACTTTTTGCATCCAGATCAGCAATATAAGCCTCCTATAATTCAACCAAAATTCTAAGTAAGATTTTGTTTTTAAACAACAATTTACTTTAAACAGAGTAATTACTTACTGTACTAAAGGGATATGTAACTGTTTGTATGTTTCCTGTGAATTATCTGATGGTTCTAGAACTATGGTCACATGATATACAAGCATCCATCCTACATACAGAAGCAAATTAAATTGACTGCACTAGAGGGGTATGTGACTGCTCTTTCCAAAAACAACATATATTCGTATAGTGGGACTGTTAAATGATTTAGAGCTAAAGGACACAATATAAAATTTCTATGGGGGACTTTCAATGTTCTTAAAGGAAGTAGAAAAACTTGCACAGAAAGATGTGTAGGTCAGTAAGATTTCTGAAACAATATCCAAAGCCAATCAAGAATGTTGTCCTAAACCCTGCACAGTGAGTGCTAAGATTACAAATGAGAACTCTCCCCCCCCCCCCCTCAAAGAAAAAAAGCAAATGACAATTATTGGGTACACTTCATGCCACTATCAAGATAGTAAATACATATTTGAAAGTTGACAAGTCACACAAGTTTCTAGCTACACCTTGAAATCAAAAGCTGTTTTGATAAAAAAAAAAAGGGGGCTTAGGAACTGGTATCACACCTTTCAACTACATACTTGTCAAGTTTTCACAAGTCACACAAGTTTCTAGCTACACCTTGAAATCAAAAGCTGTTTTGATAAAAAAAAAAAAGGGGCTTAGGAACTGGTATCACACCTTTCAACTACATACTTGTCAAGTTATCAAATGCAGCTCCAGTATACTTTTGTCTTTAGTCTGCTTAGACATGTCATTGGAAGTCTCAGATCTCGGACAAAAATGGCATAGCTGTTTTCTGATAAAATCTGATTCCATAAAAAACACCACCCCTGAGCCACTGTTAAGAAGCATGGGACATGTAAAAGGAATGACTACTAGAGAAAATATTATATTTGATACTTGTATGTTGAACTTAATAATTATTTCTATGAATTATAAATGACCATCTATATTTATTTTTTTCTCTAGTTTAACCTTTTACAGATTAGATGGGTGTAAGAGATATCTTCCAATTTTTTTTCTTCTCACAGTGGAAATACTTAATCAAACTGCATGAAACCTAGTACAAATTTACTAAAAAGTATTTAATTTTATCTATAAAAAATTCATATAATTTAATTTAGTATTTGTATAATTTTTCTAGGATGTGAAATATCAAAAATACTGTTGTGACATTATTTTGAAAAACAAACAAATATTAAAAATATTTATTTATATATATATTTGTTGATCAGAATGATCCATTTTATATATCCAATCAGGTTCAACTTGACTGATATTCATTAAAGTATTTCTTAAGATATTTTATTTATTTTGATAATTGCAGTGCTCACCATTACTGAATATAAAGGGTTTGACATTGGAATATTTTTCACATCACCTACTATACCAGCTAAACATTATCTAATGACTTGTCATAAAGGAAAATTTCAATAACTTTCAAACAGGTATAATTTAACACAAACATTTTCAGGAATAAAAATAATGTCTAAAGAAACTGTAGAAAAAAATCCCAGATCTGTGATTTGTTTCTAGGTCTTCTTAACTTTGCATTAGATTTCTTTGTTTACCCCTACAATGGCTCCTGCTAATCAATATTATGAAAATCCAAAATTAATGCACAGATCACTTTATTTAATCCGATCATATGTAAATGTTGCCTATAGCTATTTTGGAAGCTATGCTTCATTAGTAATTGTTCAGATCACACACTGTGACATCATAAAAGTGTAGGAACATGGAATGGAGTAATAAAATCATACAAAAAGAAGGAAAATAAAATAAAAACAAGAAAGGATAATTACTTTAGGATAGGTAGAATTTCTTTTAAATCAATAAATGCATTGTTAGAGCTGTGCAGAAATGAAAGTTGCCACATTGTTTTCATTGTTATTTGCAAATTACGCTAATATAAGTTACAAAATTATAAAATATCAATCAAACAATAATTTTGAATTAAAAACTGTTGAAATAGTTAGAAT